TCTAACATTTAAAATTGATGAAATTTTCGGAAAAAAAATTCAAAAAATAATATTTCAATTCTAGAGTAGTACAACAATGCAGTTTCACCCGTTTTACGTGGAGTGGTGATATTCGCGGTGATATGCAGTAGTCGTGAAATTTATTTTTCACTAGTGTTTTTGCATATCACTAGGGTGGTGAAACTACAATAATTCACAAAATTGTTCACTCATGTTAGAAAATAAAAAAAACCGAAAATTGCTAAAAAAATACGGAAAAATATAAATTTATGATTTGCCGAAATTACAAAAAAATATATAATTATAATAAATTTACCACTACAAACGTAATTAAAATTTTAGCAGAAAAATTATTATTTCCTCGTCAGCAAACGTGGAGTGAAATGTAAAATATATATTTTTCACTACTGTTTTGCATATCACTAGGGTTGGTGAAACTGCAATATAATCCAACCCAAACGCGACCAAAGATATGTCCCTTTTTGTGCGATCGTTCCAAAATACGTAGTTAATTCTAATTGTGAGAATATATTTCCGTATTTGCAATTGCATTGAATAATTTACTAATAATTAATTTACTACATTACTATTATCAAGATTTAATAATATTATTAAATCTTTTACCAACTATCGCTCTCTCGACTGCCTCATCCTTACCACCAAAACTTACTCTTTTAAAAACATCAAGTTTTCATCTAATATTATAGTATCCAAATCGCCCGATCCCGCAATATCGTGAAACGTGCCCTCAAAATCAATATCCTCGATAAATGGAAATCTAATGAAAAATGCGCCCACCAGGAATCGGACCGAGGACCTCTTACATCGGCGTTTGTATTTCCGATATATATGTGTGTATTCCATGTTTATACAGCCACGCCTTATTACGAAAAAGCGCATCCTGGATAGACGGATCGTCAGGTATACGCCATTTACCACTGACAAAAAAAGAATCAATAATTTCGTGGCGCGTGACAAAAACTGCTCAAGAGGCTCATCAACGAAAGATGCAGAATAGGTCCTCAACCGACATATCTTGTGCGACTGCATCCTTATAATTTCGTGGCGCGTGACAGAATCAATAATTTCGTGGCGCGTGACAAAATCAATAATTTCGTGGCGCGTGACAAAATCAATAATTTCGTGGCGCGTGACAGAATCCATAATTTCGTGGCGCGTGACAGAATCCATAATTTCGTGGCGCGTGACAGAATCCATAATTTCGTGGCGCGTGACAGAATCCATAATTTCGTGGCGCGTGACAAAATCCCCCCCTACCTGCACGAGAAGGCATCCTTATTCCCCATAAGTGTGCTATGCGTTAGAACCTTTTCATTCGTGTCAAAGCCAAGCCACCATTCTTGAATCTTTTCAGAAAAAAAATAATTTTCCGAAAAAAAAATCAGAAAAAATTTTTCCTACTTTCATGAATTTTTCAAACGTTTCTCTATCAGCATTCTTCAGGCTGCGCAACTGAAAATGAAAAAAATCAAAACAAAAATCGCTTCGCTCCGCCTACTTGCGGTAACGCCAACGCCCGCGGGTTCAATTTTGAATTACTATACTGCATCTGGTCATCAAATCTCCTGTAGTCCTAAAAGATATCTTCAGGTTGACTTGACAAGATACAAAATAGGTTCCCTTACCCTCAGGGCGCGCGCGTTTTCCCCTCCATAATCTTGCGATCTCCATTTGTACTACCGTACTTCT